CCTCCTACTGTTTTTTGATAAATCTACACTAATTATAGTTGCAATGTTAATATTCAGTGTTTCAGGTGCACTTCCTGGTGCTCTCTGGGTAATTATCTAATTTGTTTTCATGATTCAACACGAAAACAAATGAGAAAAAAATGGAAGAATGAAAGACTGTTTTGGTTCAGTCTTGACCTCTGGATTTACTACACTCTATAAACTTTCATTTCTGTTTGTTCTCAGTCCTTGTAATCTCATCCAATCTTGTTCAAAATGCTAAAGATTAGTAATCAAAGTGGATCGGTAACTTTCAGAAACTAATTGCATGTTAATGTTGTAACTGGAGGCTAGTTAATTAGGGTTGTGCTACAAGGAAGTTTGAGATGCATCACTTGAGAGCTGCAATTTTTTATGTCGTAAAACCAAACTCAGCTTCACAAGTGCACAGGACCGTGCAGTCATAAATGTGTGAAGCAGTCATGAGGGAAATTTTACAATTACATTTATATTTACCTTTTATTTCTTGCGTCATAACTTGGTCAGTGGTATCTAAAAACATGTCAGACGCAGTTCTGACTGAAATTGTTCCAACTAAACTAATGAAGAATTTAAATAACAATTGTAGCAATCTGGGGAAGGCTTCTGTCCTGGAAACTGGAGGGTATCAAAGGAGCAAAAGTTACTGTTTTCTTACACTGAAAGAAGGGATTTTCTGTTACTGTGCTGAAACACACTAGCACTGCTAATCTAAATCTCTTTAGATGTAGATCTAGACTGGGAGGGTTGAGTTGTCTGTCATTATGCTTGGGGACTAAGTCACACCACTTTATGAAATCCATTTGGCGATACCTGTGTTGTTTAAAAGTCTGTCTCGTAAAGTACAGGGTAACTATATAGGATTGGCCGCATTTGTGGTTTCAGAGGTTGCTGTTACCACAGGCAAACACCAGAGCATATTAAACCAAAAAATTCATCATGTCTTCACTCTCCCACATGCTAAGCCCTCACTAAAAATGGTTTCTGGTGCTGCCACTATACATGGATTACGTCTGCTTTATTGTAAATGAAAATGATCTATTTGAGTTTATACACATGGACACACTGACCTGCCTGAAGTGCTTCCTTACCCTGTAACTTCTCTAGGTGAACTGCTTTGTAGTGGGTAAGCAATTAATTACAATTCCTCATGGTCCTAGAATTTTGCTATTATTCTAGGTGGACAGGGGGTGTTAAGAAATGGCATGTTCGTTATTTGAGATGTCTAAGGTCTCATGCTATTACTCTACATTAAACTTCACGACCAGTGTCCCCCCTTGCATTCTCAGCTGTTGACACTAGGTGGCAGCTTACTACTATTTAAATGATCTGTCAAACCTGCGCTTTTGTCGGAAAACATGTTCCGTTTGTTTTCTGAAGTAATGTCTCTGCCAAGTTAGACAATCTCTTTCTTTTCTTCACAGGAAAAAGAAACAATACAGAATCTTACCCACACAGACTGGGCCTGAAAATAAAACAAGGAAACAAAGCATAACTGTAATAGGCCTAACTCTATTGTAAATGCTGCATTAAGCCCCTGACAACAACTGTTAACATGAGGTTACCCCTTATGAGCTGTATGTGCAAACCAGGAGTGATCAGCATTTTAATGTAAATCAGTACCATGTGACCTCAGACATCCTAAATAACATTGCTGGCACTCAAAGTCTAAATGAACATGCATTTCTTAACATTCCTGTGGGCCTAGATTGATAGCAACTCCATGCAGGTCAGCTTGTGCATATGTAGAATCAAATCTAGCCAGGGTACCAGGGTTTACAGCCCTACTCCTGTGAACAGTCTCATGGGATCTCTTAATGAGCTTGGTCTGTCTTAAGACAGCACCTCCTGCAATGATGTGTCCCTCCTCTAGAGAGAAGAGCACCACTAACATCACTTATAGTTGTAACTTGGTGCTCCTTGGATGTCTCGGATTCCGGTACCGATCAGGCCCAGACTTGTTTACGTTCTGATATGTGACAGGATCAAGCTACAAGCTGGTGACACTGCTATTAGCAGCTGTCAAGCCTTCATAGACACCTGAGGACATTTCAAGAATCTCTGGTCTGAATCTGTGAGCTTTTCCACCACTGTAAACTAAAATGCACAAAGGAACAGGTAACGGGTGTATCCTGTACTGAAAAGAAAAGCAAGGAAACACAGCGTTTCGGCTCTGGAGCCTTCTTCAGGTGTGAAAGACAGGGCAGACAGCAAAGATTAAATAGCACAGGAGAACAAAAGCTGGACAAGTGGAGGAGGAGGGAGAGGGAGAGGGGGAGGCAGAGAGGCCACTCAGGAAGTGGAGAGGGGTGAAGAAAGGTGTGAAGTCAAAACTGGCATGAGAACGGAGATTACATG